GGGGAGAAATTCAAATCCAAATCAATTACAAAGAACCCTCCGAGGACCCTGGAGCAGAAAGCCTGCTCTGAGGATCTGCTAGTGAGACATCTTCCCAAGGGGCTCCAGACCGCAACTGGGGAGAGGCAGGACTGACTGTACCTGCCCTAGTTCCTGGACTTTGATCTCTCATCTGACCTCTGTCTCACCCCTGCTCTGATCTGACAACTCCTGCTGGGTTGACCCCCTCTCTGACCCGGCCTGCCCCAGTTTTCAGCCTGGCTGCTCCAGGCTGATAGCTCACAACGTGACAGCTCCAGGCAGGACAATTTTTTGGTATCAGCAACTAGTATTAGGATTGAAACACCACCTCTTCTACTGATATAGTGACAGATGGGATGTTTATGTCAAAAACACTGATTCTGAGAGTGGAATTCAGTCATTTTAAATCAACTCAACACTGTCACTGAACATGGGCTATTGAAACAGACAGAAACAGCCCTTAGCACTAACTGGAGAGATGTGTTTCAATTCATTGAAGAAATGGCTTCTGAGGGTCAATTCTAGGGTGACTTCTGCACTAACACTGAGGGCAAAAGAAAAGATGATCTGTCCCCAAGAAGTTCCCTTATGCTCAATTTTGATTCTGTACCTAGAGATGATGTTTTTAAGACTAGGCAACTGGATCAAAGAGGAGAAAGGCCCCCAATTCTCATATACGCAGAAGGGATGTTTCTAGCTTTGCCCAAGATTCCAAAGTTTTTCAACTACTGGATCAGCTGGTAGGAGATTGAGGAAGTTGATAATGCACAAGGACACAGTTTCTAAAATTTAGATCTGTCTGTGCACCAGCAGTCAGGCCCAGGGGAATACATAGCCTTCCTAGTAAGCATCAAAAGAGCTCAAGATTAGGGTCTAGGATACATACCACTCTGCTCCTGGTAACACTCTAGCTTCATGTGTGATCCTGAACAATTCACATCTACCCTCTGGACCACATCTTCCTCAGTTACATCTTTACTCTCTGAATGCTTAGCTCCTTACAGAGTGTTTGATGGTATTTGTGGAGTGAATGAGTGAATCTCAGGGGTCCCTTCTACCTCTGATACTGTAAACCTGTGAGCTGCAGACCTCTTCAGGAAAGAATGGAATTGGTCAAGAAGCAAAAGGTTGATCCCATTGGTCACACTCCACCCTGTTGGTAGGATCTGACCAACTCACCTTTCTGCTCATCCTCTTTTTTTCACTTTGTATCTCCTTTCTACTCTACCTCAAACATATTGTTCTGGTTTGAATCATGTACCCAAAATATATATATATATATTCAAGTTCTATCCCCCAGTACCTGTGAATACGACCTTATTTGGAAATATAGGGGCTTGCAAATGTCATCAAGTTAGGAGGAGATCATACTGGATTAGGTTAGACCCTAGCCCAAGTGCTTATAAGAAGAGGGAAATCTGGACATGGATACATAGAGAGGACAACATGACAACAGAGACAGAGATTAGACTGGTGCATCCACAAAACAATGCCACAGATTGCTGGCAATCACCAGAAACTAGGAAAGACACACAAAACAAACTTCCTCTCTCAGCCCCTAAGAAGGCATCAACACTGATGGCACCATAATGTCTGACTTCTGGCCTCTTGAACTGTACAAGAATCAATTTTTTTAAGCTACCTCTTTTGTGGTACTGTACTTTGTCATGGCAGCCCTAGGAAACTAATACACCTATCTGAGGCCACTATTGTATTTGGAAATCATCCTACTGATGCATATTAACAGAGCCCTAGAGAGCTCTAGTGGTCCTGATATCTCTCCAAATATACAGTAAAGATGAGTCATTATTGTATCTGTACCACACGTCTGAAGCCTAGATTCCTGTTTCCTCCATGGGCCAAGAAAGGAGGTGCTCTACATGACTATTTAGCAGGGAGAGGATTCTGGGGATGGGAAGGACTGCCAGCTGTTTTTCTTCCCACAAGGACAGCCCCCCAAATAAAGAGCTTTTATCATCATAAGATGCCACTGTCATTTATTTTCACTCATTCAGTAAATACATACGGAGCACTTACTATGCAAGGCACTGGTGAGTGACAGAGGAGATTGTAGATGGATGGGGAAGAAGGCTTAAGAAATGTAACAGCGCATATTCCTTGAGTTGTAAGAGCCAACCGGGTGTCGGAGGTCTGTATACAACATGATGGGTTATCAAGATGGTCTTGGGAATCAGACCATCCTGTCTAGAATTCTGGCTCTGCCATTGATGCCCGCTGAGATCTTAAACAAGTTACTTAATCTCCCTGGGCATTAAACTTAGTGGGAGGATTGAGAGTAAAATGATGTATATACAGCAGAAGGCCAGGGTGAGGGCTCAATAAATATGTTATTTTCATTTTGGAGGGGGGAAAGCAAAAAAAAGAGAATAGAAGGGAAAAATGGAAATAAAGTTTTTGCAAATAAGGAGGAGAAGAGGAGTTGAAGGAAATGGAGAGGATTGGGGAAAAAAGAAGAATCAAGACATATCATGTACAGGTTCCCTATGATGTATGTCATTATTATGGATATCTAAATTGTATAGATGAAATTAATTTTTAAAAAATAAAACTATGCTTAGAAAAAAGAAAGAAAAGCAAAGGTGTTCCCTAGAAGCAGCTCAGTAGTAGAGCAGGCTGATTTAGATTAAGCAAGGCCTCTGTCCATTTCAGGCCCTCAGCACCTCCTGTCAAACACCATCTGACAGAATGCTCAGAACAACTACAGGAGGAAGTTAAGATCGCTTTACAGATAACAAAACTGTAGCTCAGAGACATAAACAACTTGTCCAAGTTCACACACACAGCAAGGAATTTAGCAGTGCAGGGGACAAATTAGAGCTCCCAAGGACACTTTCTTCCTATTCCTGGGCATAATGTATACGCAAGTCAGAAGGATTGGAAGGCATCAGTGTCCTGAGGGTCTAGGGCACTTCACCTAAAGCTGCAGTTATCTCTATAAAAAGTGCTTTGCACTAGATTTACATGTTTTTGTCTAATTACCAAATGCATCTCTAGTGCCTATCATAGGATGCTTAGAGCACTTTGTATTAGCAACTCAATTAATCCTAACAAAAGAAGTTAAGCAACTTCCCTAATGTCACACAGACAGCTGAGTTGCAGAAACAGGATTCACTTCTGGTGCTGAAGCTCTGAACCATTGTTCTATATTGCAGTATCTTTGGTGGTGGGAGTATGTGAGTGTACACATCGAGTGAACAGGAGTGTTCACATATACACACAACCTACAAGCCACCCTTTGGTGCTATTGCTGCCATAAGACCATGAGTAATCTGACCCTCTAGGCTGAATGGCAGGATGGGGGCTGTTTAACCCTGGGACTCTCTGAGTCACAGATTCTCATCCCCAGCCCACTTCCTGATAACTCTTTGGGCCTCCGCTTTGGAAACTCTTTGAGCACAAATAGCTCATTTCCTGTACCCAGGAAAGACGGGACAAGTTCCTGATGACAGCTCATCTCCCTCATTAAGGCGCTCATAAAAGTGCTTCAAGGAGCCTGACTTATGGCTCCAGTTTGTAAAGTCTCCTTCTGCAAGGAGCCACTCTGGTAATTTGGTGCTAGGAGATGTGCAAGAGAAACCAGCTCCTTTGAGTCCAGGAATTATTTATGGTCCCCAAAAGAGAGAATGTCATTTGGAGAGATAACAAGCCTTCACCAGCACAACAGGCTGCTTAATGTGCCACAGGATGGAGGCAGATTCAGAATTCCAAAGCCAGCTAAGATGCCTCAAGAGAGCCTGTACACAGGTTGTCTGAGCTGAGGAAAGTTCCTGAGACAGTAACAGAAATGATAACAGCTAGCTATGGAGGTTTTTACCTTGGGCCAGGGCCTGTACTAAATGCTTTTAGTACGTTAATTCATTTAATTCTCACACCATGCCTATTTCACAAGTAGGAAATTTAGGCATACAGATGTTATACAATTTGCCTAAATTCACACAGCCAACCAGCAGCCACATCTGCCTCTATATTTGTGCTCTGAAATATGAAATGCTTACAGTTTAGGAAGAAATTAAGTCAGTCTAGTAAGGCAAAACATGCAAAATTACCTTTGATAACCCTGTAAAATGCTTGTATAGTTTATTTCATTTGAGCCAAAGGGCCCAGTCCAGTGAATCATAGATGGTACTTGACATTTGGGTTATAGCTATATGCAGACTCTTGCGCATTTAAACCACTCTGTTCTTAGGTGAGCTATCAAGTGCACAAGGGCAAAAAATTGAGTGACAAATTATAGAGTGCCTCTAACAAAACAACCTGATAACTTTTTCTCTTTTAATATGTAGCCAAAATTTTATTTGAATTAGGATTAAGAACTCACAACAGTAACATCCTGAAAGTTGTATTAGAGACGGGGTTCTAATGCCCAAGAATAAATCAAACTAGCCTGATACAGTGCGACTCCATGACATTAGCTTTGGAGTCAGATAAAACTGGATTCAAATTTTAAATCTGCTACTTACTTCCTGGGTAACCTTGGGCAATATGCTTAAATTGCCTCAGTATTTTAATCTGTAAAATGGTCACAGCATTATTGCCGTGTTGACAAGATTGAATTTAAATATTTCTAAAATATTACGTTTGAGCATACATAAATATAGTAAATATCCACTTTAATAGCTTTGACCTAAGGCAGGGCACATCACCTTTCTAAGCCTCATTTCCCCTCATCAGTATTATGGACATAACCGTTCTACTAACCTCAAAGGTAAGGAAACAGTGAGTCACTGCACAGATTATACAGGAGGATTTTCTCAACTATTTATATACCCGGAATTGTGAGGAGGTGTTGGGGGACCCCTACTGGAGAAAATAACTCAGAAGCGTCCTGGGACTGAACAGAAATGGGCTCAGGTCTAGCTTCACTTTTGCGGTTTAGTGTGGCTGTGTGACTGGATGAGTGACCTAACCTCTCTGAGCCTTAGCTTTCCTTATTGTCCAGTGAGGTTAACAGTACAGACCTCAGAGGGTTACCCGAGAGGATCACATTTTGCAAAAAAGTGTTCAGCCCGTGGTGAAGTACTCTTAAGTGCCGAATGTGAATGTCCCTGGCTGAGCCAGATTCAGCCTTCTCCCTACGCGGAGTGGAAATAGTACTCTGCGCGGCCACGCGAAGCTCAGGTAGGGCCAGATATTCCCCGGGGGCCACAGGGCTCCAACGCCTCCCCACTCCACCGCCCGCCCGGCCGTTGCCATGGCCACCGGTTCAGGCCTAGAGCAGCACCAAGGCGTGTCCGGCCCAATCCCCGCCTTTCCAGAGTGACCATTGGCTGGAGCGGCCACGTGACAAGCGTTGGTATGCTAATATATGTTAATAGCCCACGCCCCTCCTCCGAGGACCGCTTCGGAGTAGCCGGCCGGGTGCTCGGCGCGGAGCCGAGGGGGC